GACCAAGCCACCCAGCGCCCCTAATTGTTATGTCTTCTTGATGAATGACCCTTATATCAATATATAAAGTCTTTCTTTGTCTCAGTAATTTTTGACTTAAAGTCTATTTTTCCAGACAAATACTAATGTATACTAATGTATAGCTACTTCAGTTGTCTTTGGGTCTCTGTTTGCATGGAGTATCTTTTCCAACCTTTCACCTTCAACCTATGTGGCTATAAAGTGAGTCTCTTGTAGACAGCATATAGTTGATGTTATAACAAACTAGTTTGAATTAATACCAGTTTAGCTTCAGGGGCACCTGGGTGGCTCAGTCAGTTAAGTGTCTGAGTCTTGATCTTGGCTCAGGTCATGATCTCACAGTTCGTGAGTTCCAGCCTTACATTAGGCTCTGTGCTGACAGTGCAGAGCCTGCTGGAATTCTGTCTCTCCCTCTTTCTGCCCCTTCCTTGCTTACTCTCCCCCCTTAAAATAAATTCATTTTTTAAAAAATTATCAATTTAGCTTCAGTTATACAAAAACTCTGCTCCTATACAATTCCATCCCTCCCTTTTATGTTTTTATTGTCACAAATTACATCTTTGAACCATTGTGTGTTCATTAACATAGATGTATAATTGTTGTTTTATGCATTTGTCTTTTAAATCACATAGGGAAAAGAGAAGAATTACAAACCAAAAATACAGTGATACTTGCATTTTTATTTACCTATAAATATCACATAGTTCACAGTTTAGCTCAGAGTAATACCAACTTAATTTCGCTAAAATACAAAACTTAGCACTTATATAGCTCTATTCCCAACCCTTCCTTTGTGCTGTTGTTGTCATGTAAATTATATCTTTAGACATTGTTTTCCCACTAAGACAGATTTGTAACTATTGCTTTATGTAGTTGTATTTTAAATAAAATAGGAGAAAAAGAGTTACAAATAAAAACTACACTTATACTGTCTTTTATGTATACCCATGTCCTTATCTTTATCACTGTTCTTTTTTTTTTTTTCATGTGGATTCAAGTTGTTTTCTAATATCCCTTCACTTCAGCCTGAAGGATTTACTTTAGTATTTCTTGTAGAACAAATTTGTTAGAGGGGCGCCTAGGTGGTTCAGTCGGTTAAGTGGCCGACTTTGGCTCAGGTCACGATTTCACAGTTCATGAGTTCAATCCCCATGTAGCGCTGTGGGCTGACAGTTCACCCTGGAGCCTGCTTCGGATTCTGTGCCTCCCTCTCTCTCTGCCCTCCCCTGCTCACGCTCTGTCTCTCAAAAATAAATAAATATTAAAAAAAAAAATGTGTAGAACAAATTTGTTAATCTGGAAATATCTTCATTTCTCCTTTTTTGAAGGATAGTTTTGTGGGAGACCACATTCTTGGTTCATAGTCTTTTCTTTCTTCACTTTGGATATTTCTTCTCACTGCCTGCTGATCTCCATGGTGTTTGATAAGAAATCACCTGTTAATCTTTTTTTTTTTTTTTTTTTTTTTTTTTTTTTTTTTTTTTTTTTTTTTTTTTTTTTTCGTTTTTTTTTTTTTGTTCT